CCACGACCGGCGTGGGAGGCAGCACATTCCACGAGCAGCAGACGAGTGCCTCTCGCCCAGGCACTGGTGACTTTAGAGACAGCTCCAGCTGAATGTTGGAATGCACATAATGTACGCGTAAGTATACACTGAATTAAATTTTTAAACATTCAATACTTTGTTATTTAAAAACATCAAAATAAAGTCGATACAAAGTTCTAAAGCTCAGGTCTTTTTTTCCCCTCTTCTTGCACATTTGCCACAAGAACCTGGGTCAAACAGAAAAATGAGAGACAGAGAACCTGTTTTTCTCCTGGTGACTCATAATGAACACACAGGGAGCCGTGCTCAGGGTCCTGGGGCTGACACCGTGACAGCGGCAATGGCATGTTGGCTTTTGCACAAGCTGCCCCATTGCCCTCAGGAATAAAAGCCGTGTGCCACCTCACAAGAAGGATCACAGGGACACACACTGTTGTGATGCTTCTACCCTTCTCATCAGAACGTCTACTCGGGTCTCTGTCACACACACACACAGGCACACACACATCCTCAGAACAACAGGTGCAGACAAAGGTGAGTTCAGCGTGAACCGTTTTCCCCAATACAAGCTTAGGGCACACCCAAGCCCCTACTGCCCAACCCGAAAAGAAAGCTGCATTGGTGAGGGCCTGCATCCACAAACTTACCACTTCCATGCGCTGCTGTGTTCTAAGGCCCCAAATGAAACAACTGGGGGCGTGCGGGGGTGGGAGTTGTCAGGAGTCCCACCAAGATGCAGAGCCCCTGAGTGCGGGAGCAGGAGCCTCCCACCCCACAGTTACAGGTGGAGGGCCGGTCTTTATTTGGAGGGGAAGTGTGGGGTCGTTCATTGATCCTCAAAGAAAAACATGTTTTAAAGCAGTTCATTTCCCTTCTGTTATCACCAAAACCCAAGTTGAAACTTGGGAATTTCTCACGTTTCTCCAGGTGATAAATTATGATGATATTAAAAATGTTCCTTCTCTGTTTTCCTAGGTTCCTTTGCATCTCTGTTGGGGGAGGGAGGGGCTTGGGGCCAGATTCTAGCTGATGAGATAGAAATTGAAGTCAGCCCTGGCTGGTGTAGCTCAGTGGATTGAGCGCGGGCCTGCAAACCAGACAATCGTGGTTCGATTCCCAGTCAGGGCACATGCCTGGGTTGCAGGCCAGTTCCCAGCAGGGGACTCATGAAGGCAACCATACATTGATGTTTCTCTCCCTCTCTCCTTCCCTTCCCCTCTAAAGATAAACAAATAAAATCTTTAAAAAAATTGAAGTCAATAAGGCTCATGATAGAGCTAGGGAGCTGCTATGAAATTTGGGGCTTTCTTGATAGAAAAGTGTGGCCATTGTCAGTCCTCTCCTACTCCACACATTGGGCCTGTCGGCCTTTGACGTGGTTGTGATGGCTGGAGCAATGGCAGCCAGTCTGCAGTCATGAGGGAAAAGGCATGCCCAGGGAGAGCATTTCTCTCTATTTAGACGAGCCATTAATAAAAAACAAGTTTCAACTTCCAGAAAGATGGAGGCATATGTGGAGACACCATGCTTCCTCACACAACCAAGTTTAGAGACAACTAAGTAATAGCAATAGAAAACACAGCCAGAACACAGAAAATTGAACTTTTCGGAAGTCTGATAACAACAAATTCTTCAGCCTGACTGCGTCATAATCCAGCAACCTAAGTGGCCCTGCCCCGGTGAACAACCTAAGGCTCCACTCTTCACCCAGCTGTGAGAAACAGCAGTGGGGGCTGCCATTTCCCCGCTCTGATCCCGCCCCCACATACAGCGTCACAACCCAGTGACCTGGGAGTCCAAGGCTCCGCTCCTCATACTTAACGGGCGCAAACAGACCCATACAGCGTCACAACCCAGTGACCTGGGAGTCCAAGGCTCCGCTCCTCATACTTAACGGGCGCAAACAGACCAAAAATGGCTCAAGAAGAGCTCAAAGCCCCAGAGCCTATAAATCTAAGCGATGAAGAAATAGCAAAACTCTCAGACGCACAGTTTAAAACACTGGTCATCAGGATCCTCACAGAACTGGTTGATTATAGCCACAAATTAGACAAACATATGAAGGCGAAACTAATTGAAATGAATGGAATTGCACAGGAAACAAATAGCGATGAAAAGGAAACTGGGACTCAAATCAATGGAGTGGACCAGAAGAAAGCAAATAATGGCCAAACAGAAAAGAGTCAAGAAGCAAGAATTCAAAAACATGAGGAGAGTCTTAGGAACCTCCAGGACATCTTTAAAGGCTCCAACATCCGAATTATAGGGGTACCAGAAGGGGGAAAAGAACACCCACCAGTGGAAAACTTATTTGAACAAATAATAAAGGAGAATTTCCCCAATCTGGCAAAGGAAATAGACTTCCAGGAAATCCAGGAAGCTCAGAGAGTCCCAAAGAAGTTGGACCCAAGAAGGAACACACCAAGGCACATCATCATTATATTAGCCAAGATTAAAATGAAGGAGAGAATCCCAGAAGCAGCAAGAGCTAAGGGGACAGTCACCTACAAAGGAGTCCCCATCAGACTGTCAGCAGATTTCTCAAAAGAGACCTTACAGGCAAGAAGGGTCTGGAAAGAGGTATTCCAAGTCATGAAATCCAAAGACCTACAACCAAGATTGCTCTATCCAGAAAAACTTTCATTTAGAATGGAAGGACAGATAAAGTGCTTCTCAGATAAGATCAAATTCAAGGAGTTCATCATCACCAAGCCCTTATTATATGAAATGTTAAAGGGACTTATCGAAGAAAACGAAGTTAAAAAAAAACATGAACAGTGAAAGGACAACAAACTCACAGTTATGAACAACCACACCTAAAACAAAAGCAAACTAAAAGGACAGCTAGATCAGGAGTGGAAACATAGAAATGAAGATCTCAAGGAGGGTTAGCAACAGGGGAGTGGGAGGAGGAGAAGGGGGGAGAAGGTACAGAAAATAAGTAGCATAGACAGTAGATAGAAAATAGATGGGAGGGCAAGAATAGCATGGGAAATATAGAATCTAAAGAACTTGAGACACATGGTCATAAACTAAAGGGGGGTAATGGTGGGGATGGGGGTAGGGTGGAGGGGAATGAAGGGGGGAATAGAACAACGGTAATGGCATAATCAATTTTAAAATAAATTAATAAATAAAAACAAGTTTCCAGAGAAGCTGAGAAACATCCCAGAAGACATGAAGTGGACAACCTTGGAAGCATGTGTCATGTGAGCTCTAGGGATGCCCCAAATACCCAGGGTCTATATTTTTCAGGGTTCAGAAGCCAAAAAGTTGCTGGAGGGAGCCACCGAGGGAGTAGAATTTGCGTATAGATGTGAGTGTGACTCATCTACGAAGGAATCAACGGCGTGAGGGCCACGATGAAAGAACTGCCCCTGCCGTAGCTGGCAGCCCCTGGGACAGTCCCCCCCTGAGGACCCTGTGCGCGGACACAGAATGGCATTTCTGTTGTTCTCAGCTGCAGCTGTGTCTTTCTTTATGCACCTGCCTCTCTGCTTGGTCTATGGCTCTGCGAATACCTGGAAGGTGAATGCATTCGGTGCCGCGAGCTGGTGCTGAAGCTGCGCAGGGTTAGTTGGGGCCAGTCTGGGAGTTTTTCTAGGATAAGAAACACCAACACCTGGTGGAGAACAAACCTTAATCCGGATTATTTTTTTATATCACTGGCTGGTCCAATTTCTGCTTCTAAGAGCTATATTTGAATATCTTTTTGAACGCTATTTTTTGTTCCTGATACTTTCTTTAATCTTTCAGCATATAGCTTATCAAGCAGAAAAAATGATCCAAGTTTAGCGAGGCTTTTCCGATGTACTTGAACTTCCGGGAAAAATGGAGGAGAAAGTCATGCCGATCGGGGGAGAAATAAAAGGTCTTTAAACGGACCCAGGCCCTTCCTCACCTAAGGGTGAGAGACTATTTATGAAGTGTCCCTCCCTGGTATTCTTCTGCTGGTTTCTGAGAACTAAGACAACAGAGAGACCCGGCCCGAAACCAGCGTTCCCAATTTTCCTGTGGGGATGACCCAGTCAGGTTTGAGGTCGGTACCGCGACCGGACAGCAGGCCCCTGCGCGGGCTGTCTATCCAGTCTGGGGGGCGCGGATCCCACTGTGTGAATCGGCAACTCACCCGCATTTCCAGGATGGAGAATCGTGCGAGGCGTAGCGCAAGCCCCTTCCTCTCGCGTCCCTCCTCGTCCTCTCAGGCCCCCGAGGCAGAACCAGGCGCTGACACCAGCCCTTCCCTTCCCTCCCCTTATGCCCAGTCACCCCCCGCGGGGAGCCTTTCGCTGAGGTCTGGGCGATGCTTCTTCCCCAGACCTAACCCTGAGCTACGGGTTCACGCTGCACTTCCCAGGTCTTCTCCCAATCCTGCAACTCGGTGCCGCCCACGCACCACGTGTGTTGCATTTCTCACCACCACCCGCCTTCACCTGCTCCCGGGCTCCGCTCCCCCAGGAGTTGCTCACTCGAGGGAACAGTTAGCTCCATGGAGATACAACTGGCCTGTAACCTTGCCTGGGCTTGAGGAGACAATCGGCTGGTTCGATACACATGGATTGCGAAACATTGCCACCCTGATGACCTAGCTCCTCCGCGGCTTCCCGTCCGTGGGTCCCTGGGGAGAACACGGAGACCTGCTCTCCCAGCTGATCCCGAGAGGGGCCCGCTGAAATTCCCCCGAATGGGCACCAGGGGGCGCCTGTTCTGCGCAGACCTTTGCCACTGAGTAACAAACAAGATAAAATGGATAGTTTCCATTTCTTCGACATTTTCAAAAACGGTAACCCTTTGCAGTCTTGGGAAAACAACCTTTGTTAATGCTTCAGACCCTCGCCTCTCCGTGGGCAGGTGCCCGTGGAGCCGAGAAAGGGAGGCCCGAGGCCTTCCCCAGGCCTGCAGCACACTCACCTAGAGTCCCGGCCCCTGGTGTCTCCGGCGAAGCAGCTGGAGGCCCAGGGCCTCTCAAGAGAAAACCGTCAGCGCTGCACGGGCACCTGGAGTGTGTGCAGAAACACTAGAATCTGCAGAACCCCTGCAGGGAATAGGGGGCGTCCGCGCTCCCTTCTCAGGGGTCAGGTGTCCGACTTCGTCTCTGCTCTTCCTTGGCCACCCGACGTGGGGAATCGCTCACACCCTCACGCAGAGCAGGCAACGCCCTTGCCAGGGGCCGGGGGTCGGGGTGGGGAGGGGAGCAAAACTCCAGGGTTTGAGGGGCCCAGGCGGGAGACAGACTCCTGGACTCAGGCCCCAACCCGTCATGCAGGTGGACCGACAGTCACGTGAGGGGGAAGCTCAGTTGCGAGCAGGTCAGCTTGCGGGACAAAGGCCAGGGACTCTAGCGGCGCTCCCCATCCCAGCTTCACTGCTGACCGCGCAGGTGCAACGCAGGCGCAATTCCGGGACTGTCCCATCTGCGGTATGGAGTGGGTTTTTTTCCCCTATGATTCTTAACTGCGCTAACTGCTAACCACATGGAACACAGAAATGTTGACAGAAGGAGAGAAAAATTTTAACTGCAGAAGAAGAAAAACATTGATGGGGGAACTTCCGCCAAGATGGAGGCATAGGTGGATGTGCCGTGCCTTCTCACACAACCAAGTTTAGAGACAACTAAATATTAGCAACAGAAAACACAGCCAGAACACGGAAAATTGAACTTTTCGGAAGTCCGTTAACAATGAATTCTTCAGCCTGACCAGTAAGGGGCGAAACCAGTGACTGGTGAGGGGTTGCACAGGAGGACTCGGTCAGACGGACTCAGGCGTGGAATCCAGAGGCGCGGAATCCAGGCACAGGGTTGGACCTAGTGAGCGACCCAGCGAGCCACTAGGCGAGCGACCGCGGAGGAGACAGCGGGGAAGCGGTGCTGCGTGTTGACTGTGGTTGCCCATTTGTGCACGAGCGGACAGGCGAGGGAGTGGGCGGTTGGACCGGGGCCGGCAGTCCCCGCGGCCAGAGGCAGTAGAGGGTACTGCCATTTCCCCGCTCTGACCACGCCCCCACATACAGCGTCACAACCCAGCGACCTGGGCATCCAAGGCACCGCTTCTCACACTTAAAGGACCAGAACAGACCAAAAATGTCACAAGTTCTCAAAGCCCCAGAGCCCATAGATCTAAGTGATGAAGAAATAGCAAAACTCTCAGACGCACAGTTTAAAACACTGGTCATCAGGATCCTCACAGAACTGGTTGATTATAGCCACAAATTAGACAAATATATGAAGGCGAAACTAATTGAAATGAATGGAATTGCACAGGACACCAATAGCAATGAAAAGGAAACTGGGACTCAAATCAATGGAGTGGACCAGAAGAAAGCAAATAATGGCCAAACAGAAAAGAGTCAAGAAGTAAGAATTCAAAGAAATGAGGAGAGTCTCAGGAACCTCCAGGACATCTTTAAAGGCTCCAACATCCAAATTATAGGGGTACCAGAAGGGGGAAAGGCACAGCCACCAGTGGAAAACTTATTTGAACAAATAATAAAGGAGAATTTCCCCAATCTGGCAAAGGAAATAGACTTCCAGGAAATCCAGGAAGCTCAGAGAGTACCAAAGAAGTTGGGCCCAAGAAGGAACACACCAAGGCACATCATAATTACATTAGTCAAAATTAAAATGAAGGAGAGAATCCTAGAAGCAGCAAGAGCTAAGGGGACAGTCACCTACAAAGGAGTCCCCATCAGACTGTCAGCAGATTTCTCAAAAGAGACCTTACAGGCAAGAAGGGTCTGGAAAGAGGTATTCCAAGTCATGAAATCCAAAGACCTACAACCAAGATTGCTCTATCCAGAAAAACTTTCATTTAGAATGGAAGGACAGATAAAGTGCTTCTCAGAGAAGATCAAATTCAAGGAGTTCATCATCACCAAGCCCTTATTATATGAAATGTTAAAGGGACTTATCTAAGAGAAAGAAGTTAAAGAAACATGAACAGTGAAAGGTCAACAAACTCACAGTTATTAACAACCACACCTAAAACGAAAGCAAACTAAAAGGACAGCTAGATCAGGAGTGGAAACATAGAAATGAAGATCTCAAGGAGGGTTAGCAACAGGGGAGTGGGAGGAGGAGAAGGGGGCAGAAGGCACAGAAAATAAGTAGTGCAGACAGTAGATAGAAAATAGATGGGGGGGCAAGTATAGCATGGGAAATATAGAATCTAAAGGACTTGAGACACATGGTCATAAACTAAAGGGGGGTAATGGTGGGGACAGGGGGGGTAGGGTGGAGGGGAATGAAGGGGGGAATAGAACAACTGTAACAGCATAATCAATAAAAAAATTTAAAAAAAAGATTTGGGTTAAAAAGAAAAAAACCCACTTATCAAAGAATACCTCTGAGAGACCTGCCTCTCTGGACTAAATCCCCCATCTTTGACTCAATATGCTATGCACATAACCTTGAGCATGTTGGTGCACTTTTCTGTGCTGGTCTGTGAGCTGCAAAAGGAGGAAAGCGCCCGGCCTGGGCCCGAGGTGACGTGGCATGGTGGGACGGGCTCTGGGGCAGGGTGAACCCCACGCCGGGGCACAGGGGACCATCAGCGCTGCTGCCCACCCAGGTCCCCCGCTTAGGACAACCCAGGCCTACCTGTCAGCTTCAGCTCCACCTGGCCGGCGGCACGGAAGGTGGCGTTCACCTTGCTGCTGGTGGCGTTGAAGCCGTCCACCGTCAGCGTCGCCAGCTGTGTCTTCCCCAAATACTCGTAATGGCCCTGCCACACGGAGCTGACGAAAAACACGTCAGGAGGAACTGCGAGGGAGGAGACACAGGCACAGATCAGCCCACGTGGCACCGAGCTACGTGGGTCTTTCACAACAGAGAAGACGGACTTGCTCGGGGAGACGCCAGACATGAGCACAGTGACGAGGACGACGGTGACGGACTGCATGCAGGCCCCTCACGGCGTGTGGAGCTCAAGTGCACCCCCGGGGGCTCCCTCGAGGGGCAGACACACGTTTGTCAGTTTGGGGGAGACAGAGTGCAGATGCAAAGCAGACCTGTGTGGCTGGAGCGTATGTGGGGCCAGGACCACCGACACCAGGTTAGGCTGGGTTGTGCTTTATGAAACGCATGGCAAACAGCCCCAGAAAATCGTTGCTGACGCGTCAGTGACACTCACTTTGAAAGACAGAGGCTCGGGGGACAGATGTGGGACCTGTGTCAGGAACGTCCCGCCCTCACGCAGCCTGCTCGGCCCGGCCCCGTGTGGGCTGGCTACGCCGCTCACAGAGACAGCCTGCTGCGTTCGTTCCGCGGGCCAAACCGTCTCCCCCTGCCCTGTCCCCGTGGAGACGCCCCACCACAGGGAAGACAGACGGATGGAAGGGTGGCCCACGTTGCGGGTGTGGGTGAATTCAGAAAGAAACGGCAGGCAGTCTGTGTAAGACATTAAAATCCACCTGGGACAGGACGAGTCACAGAGACTGCTGAGACGCTCTCTCTTGTTGTTCACTGACTGAAAATTAAACCCATTTCCCACACCTCTGCCGGCCCACGCGCCTGAACCGCCGCCCATCTCACAGCCTTGGCCGGGGGTGCACCGGGGAAGGGGCCTCACTGCTTGTCCCTCGAATGGGCCCCCAGGCAGGGCCCACGTGGGACAGCGGGACAGGAGCCCCCACAAGTGGCATCGGAGGAAGCACGTTGCTCGACTTGCGGGGTGGAATGAAAGATTTGTTTCTCCCAAAAAGCACTTTTTTGCAGACCCACTTAGAGCAGCCGATGCCGGGACACACCTGCGGCCACGGCCCCTCATCCAAAGGTCCACTTGGCCGTTTTCCTGACTTCCCCAACAGGCTGACCCGCAGGACACAGCCTGGCAACGGGGGAGTCGAAGACGGAGGGAACGTCGTCACTCCCTGCTGTTCTGAGTGGACCCGACTCCCAAATCACAACAATTCAAGAAATGAAATAAGAGTAACACGGAGATATCAACGCCGGGGTCCCATGCGTTTGCTGGTTGAGAACTGACATTAAACGCGGCTGCCGTCTGCCAGCCTCATGGCCGCCGGGTCTTCACCGGCAAGCCCCTCGCGGCTTCCCTTACCAAGATGAGCAGCCTTTAAAATACTGTCGAGGCGGCTTGATTTCCCCTACTCGGAATTTACCCACTGGGTGGGGCTTCTAATGTGCTTGCGGGGGCTTCACTGAAGGGACTCTTGGTGGGGGCCTAGGAAGTGGCCTGTTCTTGTTCGCACGTGACTGTGAGGAGCTGATGGGTCATTCTGGGTCCTTGTCATCGGACTGTCAGCTGGTAGTGTGCAGTGGTGCGGCCACCAGAGAGCGGGCGTGTCAGAGCGTGCCACACTGATCAGAGCTGTATTTAACAGGCATGCACGCCCCTCCCAAGAGGAGATGGGGTCTACCAGTGGCCACGTGTGCGCCTCAGAAAGCACACAGAGTGGATACACTGTTTCGGTCTCTCAAACAGAACGTAAGCAAACAGGAGGGGGACACACGCCTCAGCCGCACCACCACCACCACCACCAACACTTCCTTCCTTCCTTCCTTGAGGGGGACAGTGCAGCCTGGGGAGGGAGTGCTGATTTCACTCGGCGTTCAACTTGTAAATAACAGCTACACGGAAGAGCCTGGGAATTTGGGTTTCCGTGATGCACTTGTAGCAATTCCTGTAACCACACAGTGACCTTTTGACTCCTCTGAGGATTTTCAAGTGTGACCCAGCAAGAGCATTTTTCACACCCTGCACAGTTGACGTGATAATAGATTCTTAAGCCCAAGAAACCAGTGTTAAAACCCAAGTGTGGGAAATCCAGGGAAGTGGCCTTGTATATTTACCAAGATTTTCTATTGCTGTTTGAAAAAAGCTTGACTTAAGTGATGACCTGGGGAGCACTGTATCATTTAAACGCTGTCTGGAGTTAATGCCATGTGTAAGTCAGGGTGGTTGATTGGGAGTGATAACAAATAGCTTCCTTGAGAGGCAGGGCTGTGTCTTTTTGATTTGCTCCATCGTGCGTTTAGCCAGGTGCCACATGCAGCAAGCCGTGCTAGTTCATGTCTCAGGGGCAGAGGCTGCCTGCAGCTTGGGGACCTGTGGTGAGAGCGGGCTCATGTTTGAGCTGCTCGACTTGGGGTCAAAGGCCTCACCCAGGTCTGCTTCCTCGGGGGGAGGAGAGGACCTTAACCCTCTTTATAAGGCTCTCCATTATATCACTTTCTGTCTGCAGCTCTGGCCCCCAGCTGCCACCCGGTGCCTGCGGCACCTTCAGTGGCACAGTGTGAGATCACGCCGGGAGCTCCCCCTCCTAAGTACCGCTATTGCGTTAACCAACCGCGGTCGAGAAAGCGCTAGGAATTTGCTGAGAGGCCTTGGCGATCTCGGTCACCGACATGCCCACTTGGTTGGGGACTAGTGGGGTCGGAGACTTGCACGCCCAAATTTGTCTCGCTGCCCAGAGTAGAGGACCAATCACGGCCCTTGATTGAAATCTGTAGCTGGTCAGGTATACAAACCTGGCGTTTTAGTAACTGTCTCATTAACTTCTCTCACTCCTTTACCTACAAGTAAAAAGAAAAATCGTCATTTTCAAAAACAGGTATTTTGGAATCAGTTTGAAAAAATGTCAGATCGAAGCAGTTTTCCTTTCTCCAGATTCCTCAAGTGTCCAGGAGAGGCACATCTCATCCCCATCCATTCTAACCCCTGAATGCCCGGAAGACATCCCTTGCGATGGTGGGAAAAGCTTCCAGGGGAAGCATCAGTGAGTCCAACCTACGCGTCTCCTTCCACTCAGTGTCTACAACAGAGAGCCTTGCAAAGCAGGGTTTCTGTGGTCTGTTTCTGACTCCTACGTGGGACATGCTGCCCCCGACCGAAAGGTGATGAACTAACTCAGATACTAGAACTTCCCATAACTCAACAAGTCCCTGCCCAGGTCGATGCTCTTATAAGTTAATACCGAATAATGCCAAATCGTGTCTCTTGCAGAACATTTAATTTGGTCTATCGAGTTAAACTTAACTCATAATTTCTTAGCTTTTCTAGTTTTGTATCAAAGTACAGATTATAATTTTTTTCAGTCTATTTACTTCGATTTCTGGTTGGAGAAGGGCGAGGGCAATGAACGTAAGGGTGAAGAATGGAACTATGAATGAGCTCCAGGAACCAAAGCTAAAGTCGTGGGGTCGATCGTACACACACACGACTTTTACTGATGGGGTTCCGTGCCCAGTGTGTGTGCAGAATCTAAGTTTGGGGAAGGGGCCTGGGAGAGCGGCCACCACCAAGTCTGGGCCGGGATTACTCCTCTCGTTCGTAAGTACACAAATTTGGGAGTCATGGACGCATCATGTTCCTGTTCATTGTTTTTGCAATTTTAAAAACCAGAACCAGTGTCAAGGACATGTAAGCTTTGATTCCACCACCTCACAGTTTGTGGTCTTAAAAACGACAGTTTAATTCACTGTGCACCCATACATGGCGATACTTGTCCGTTTTCATTAAAAGATAAGTTTTTCCAAAATGTATGCTGTTTTCTTTGAATGCATACTGGTTTTCTTCAACCAGACAGCTTTTCTCTCTGGGTTAAAACATGACTAGCACATGGTAGCGCCTGCATCTCTCCTTTGCCCACGCCTCCACAGTGCCAGACACGTACCGCACACACGTGCACACACACAGGAAGCACGGACAAAGTCGGGTGCCCACAAAGCTGTTCGTCTGGGGGTCTCCCGCCGGCACCCCAGCCTGGTGGGTGGCGGGCCTCCTCTCGGCTCTGCGAGGCAGGCTCGTGGGCGACTTACTTTTACAGACAGGCGACTTCCCCGTCCACTTCATGTCCGCTTTGCAGGTGCGGTGCTCAGACCCCCCGGCCAGGAACAACCCAGGGTGGCAGGTGTACACCAAGGTGTATCCGAAGGTGGGCAGGTCGATGGCCCGGACGTCCGCATGGGCCAGCGTCTCCGGCTGTCCGCAGGCGTGAGCTGCAACAGCATTCATCCCGTTAGGGGACGCAGAAACCCGGTTTACTGTGCACTTAACCCATGAAGACATGAAGAAAGAGGGCGACACTCTGGAAAGGCTTTACAGTTACTCTGTATTTTGCAAGTGTGAACACAGTATCAACTGAATTATCACTGGTACCCATGCCCCCTCCCTCTGCACCTTTCAGCACCAGGGAGAGCTGGTGTCTGTCCCCTCCCTCCCTCCTCTCTGCCGTTCTCTCTCCCTCTATCCCCGTATATACACACACACGCAAAAGTAGCTTACAGTTATGAGTATGCAAAACACAGAACTTATTCCTGAACTATTATTTCATAGTTATTGTATTATTTCCCATATGAATTTCTCCCAGCCGACGTTGGCCCACCCCTGTGTGTATGCATATACGGCCTTTCCTCCACAAGTGTGTGTGTGGTTATTCGGAGAAATTTAGAATAGAAATCACAGCTTTGAAATAACATAGACTGTTTGGGACATACCAGTGAGATCAGTAACACGTCGGATTTCCTCAGACGGCCAGTCCTACAAACTGAACGAACACAGACTGGCACATGGGTAGAAATGTGCCTTGATTTTGGTCTCAAGGCCAATAAGTGAATCGACTACTCAGTTAAATGAATAATTAATTTTGGTGAACATGTGGTGCGTGTCTAGTGATTGAGTTACTAGAGAGTCTCGTTCCCTTTCCAAATATAATTTAGGAATCAGCAAGATTTCAATGTTCAGATGTCAGGTAACTTCACATTCTTTCTAAAGTTTATCCACTGATACACACCCCAAGTAAGGGCTGGGCAGATTGTTATGGAATAAGTTTATGACGTTAAAATTGTGAACGCAGCTGTTGGAAGCATCGTCATAGTCTTGACTTCAGCAAACGCCAGTGCCATGCAGACCCTGTATCAGGAGGCTGCCCACGCACAGGTGTGAGCACAAGCGTGTGTCTGTGTATGTGTGTTAACACCCACATTCATAATTTGAGTAGTGATTGAGGGTCGAGTTGATAGCTTTGAAATAAATGCGTACCTCCCAATACTGGCAAATACACACAAATATCGTATCTTATCTACTATGGGGGTAATTTTTACAACATTCTGCTCTTACAATATTCACCACTGAGAGAGAGATGCCAAGGAGGTGGGGGTGGACGCTGACTCGCTAACCGTCCACCCAGCAGGGTGAACATGTCTCCGAATGCTCACAGCTTAGTCAGGACATAAACTCGGATCCTGAGGAGCCGTGGGGACAGTCGGTCATTTCCAACATTCCTGCTGACCCCTGGACACCTCGCCTCAGCCACTTGGCCCTGCCCCGCAGTCAGATGGGGATGCGTTAGAAGGATGGCGGCTTCCTCCCTGTGATGCCACTACACTGCCCTGCACTGTGGTGAAGGGTTAAGGGGCCTTCTCAGGCTCACGGGGACCCCGAATCACCTGGAGCGCCAGGTAGGCCAGATACTGTCCCTCCTCGCCCGGCCTGCTCTGTCCCGGGGTTTCTGATTGGCGAGTGTGGGCCGGAGGCGAAGAACCACCTCCCCCACCCCCGGGTCCACTAAACCCCCAGGGGACTCTGATGCTGCTCGTTCTAGGGAGTCCAACTTTGAGAGACACTAGTTTAGGGAACTAAAAAACCATCAATCAAAAAAAAAAAACAAACCAGGCCAGCCTCCCATCACCTCCCTTGAAGGGAAGCCCTCCCCAGACCCTGGGGGGCACCGGGGGTGCGGCCGCGCAGAACGGCTCACTCACGGATGCACTCAGTCTGGGTCCCGCTGCACGTCAGGTTGGCCAGGCAGGTGCACATGGTGGAGCCCTGGACGTGGTAGCCTTTCCTGCACCTGAAGAACACTGTGCTTCCCACCTGGAAGGGGGACGGGACGAGGGCTCAGAGGTGCAGCGGGCGGAGGTCCCGGACCATGCGGTGGCGGGGCACCCAGCCCCAGTCCCTCTGGTGTCACCGAGCCCTTAGACCCAGTGAGCTGTGCGCACCAGAGGGGCTCCCTGGGGTGTTGAAAGTACAGTGTTCCTCTCATTTCCGCCTCACCTCTCTTCACTTCACTTTGTCCTGATTTTCCCCCCACTTTTCCCTGCTGCGCCCATTTTAAGCAACGGATACTTATTAGGGAATTGCTGCTGTGGACACTTCTGGGCACTGGCCAACCCTGTTCCATCTGAGCTCCCTTCAAAACTCCATCCAGGCTGGGAGCTTCAGACAGAGTGCGTCTGCTCCCCGCCGCGTCTTTCCGCCAGGCCTCCGCCAAGCGAGCTGCTTCCCCCTGCAGCCTGTGCCTGGAGGTGCCCTGGAAGGTGCCAGGGGTCAGGAAACGTGATTTCAGAGACCGAGTTATGGTCACGTGTGGAGAGATCGCTCATATCCAGAACACGAGACCAGGGCCTGGGTGAAGAAATCTGCCACGGAAGGTGGTCTGGGCTGGCAGGTCTGGGCTGGCTGGGCTGTGTGGGGTCGGGACCCACTGTGCCTGGAAACTCCGTTTGGAAGCCATGTGAGTGCTCTGCCCTGCACTCCGAGACCCCTCACAAGGGGGTACTCCGACCCTCTGCCTCTGGCCTGTCCCCTGTCCTGCCCACGTCTCCCTCGTGGGACTGGGAGGCGTGATGGTGAGCAAAATGCCCGGAGGCAGTCGCCCCTCGGAGGAGGGACGGTGAGAGTCGGAGACAGTAGCAGCTTCTCATCCCTGGTCCTTCCCAGAGAATGTTCCAAGTGGAAGTGTAAGGCAAAGAAAGATTTTTGGGGTGTGTTTGGAGGCATCGCTCTGAGTGATGGAATGTGTCACAAGTGTATTTTCAAGTTTCACTCCAGAGATTTCTGGCGTGCAGTTGTCCCACGGGTCCGGCAGACCAGTTGTAGTGCAAAGCCGTCCAGGGCACATGTTTACTGAAGACAGTCGTGTGGCTCACTGGAGACAGGCAACATACTCAAAGTATCCTGATCAAGCACTGAAAAGTATTTGCACCAGCACAGTTAGATTAGTCATCCTGATGTCTGGGTTCCACAGAAATTAGGTGGTACAAGGAGGGGACCCATCTTGAACACATATCCACATGTGGTTCTCTACTGAAATGTAAGGAAAACATTGTGTTTCTGGAATAAATTGTGAGGGGTGAGGAATGATTTATGTGTTAGAATAACGTGGAATGGGAGAGATTGAGGGTCAGCTAAGGAACCAACACCAGGCCCCTCCAAAGGGTGGTCTTCATCTGAGAGAGGTGATGTTACTACCCTTGTGGTGGTTTCTGGAGGGGGTCCTGCTGAAGGAATTCCTTGTAGAAAGCCAGCAGGTGACTTGCAACAAGCACTGCTCCAGGTCAGACCAACTGAAAGCACCGCCTGAGGGAATGAGTCTGGAATTTGTCAGTAGAAGCTTCATGATAAAGTGAGAATGCATGTTTGTCTTTGGTGACCAGTGAAAAAAAGTTCCAGCCTGGCTGCACAGTCCTGATTCATGCACAGTGCTCACCAGACCTTGCACCTTCACGTGGCCAATTACTTAGGTCTTTCTGAATTTCTCTTATTAGAGAGAAATTTCCATCCCTGGAAGACTGCAGAAGCCACCTGGAAGAGCTCTCTGCTCCAAAAGATAACAAAGTTGTCTTTTCGAGGGACCATGGAATGGTGAAAGGTGGCCGAAGACAGTGGAACAGAATAGTGACGACCTTGTGCAGTCACCGTGTTTGAGGAAAATGAAAAGTGTGCCTGTCTTCGCATCTCACAGTAAAAAGTGAAGGAACCTTTCAGCTGAGCCATTTGTGGGACCTAAGTTCCAAGTGGTGGTCTCTGCTGCCATCTTGTGGCTATTTTGGGAATGACACCTCAGTGCAGTTCAGCAGGAAAGGTGGTTAATTGTAGTGCAGTATCAATGGCTTTTGAGGGTAGTGGTATTTCCAAGTGCGTTCCAAAGCGTCTAAATGTCCGCACTGTCCAGTTACCTTGAGTGGTGTGCAGGTTAATTTGCTTTGTCTGTTGCAGCTTTCTTAAATAAGGGGAAAATACAATTTATTCAAATCCTCCATCCAGAAATAGAATACAATAAAATAAAATAACATCATTATCATTTCATGTGTGTGCCCTTCTGGACATGTCTAGACACATGTTCCCACCAGTGTGTCTTGGCTTCATTTACTGTTTTTAGTTCCTAAAATGGGTGCAAGTCTTGTACAATTGGACGTTTTGTGACTAACCCGTGTGTTCAAAGGTGCAGATTTTGTTCTTAAGTTTCAGTGTGTAGTATGTTTAGCATCATTCAGTTCAAATTATTTTGTAACTCACATGGTGGTTTGTGGGGGTGACTTTGCTCGCAAGTCCCCCTAGTAGTCACGGATGAGAATGAATATGACTGAGACATGATGTGATCTGCTTGGGGAGGAGAAGTGAGCAGTGGCCAGTTTCTCAGGGGAAAATGGCCAGCAGGGGCCAGTTTCTCCAAGGAGAAAAAGGTCTGGAGGCCCCTCCTCCACGGCCTTTTATTGGGTTGTAATACACAGGAATACAGGGCAGCAAGGATCAAACAGTAGATAACATTTCAAAAAAATCTGAGGGCTTACTATGAGTCAGAGTCTGTGAGGAACAGAGTTTAGGGTTTCTTGCTCAAGCCCTTAACATATGAATGAAAGCACTCTTAGCAGAGCAGATTTCACAGGTTTATCAGGAAATCTTTGTGATGCCAATTTTTCCCCAGGACACACTCCAGCAAGGCAAGGAGCTACACCTCTCCCCAACAGGTATTCAGGCTTAAGGGGATGAGAGCCAGGAAACACTTCTCCCAGAGAACATGGGGACTTGGGTTATGTCAAAGTGGGGGGGTGCGCGGGAGTCCATTGCTCGTTGTTGCAGTCCCCCCCACCCCAAGTCCTTCCATGAAGGCCTCCCAAGCGATCGAGTCTGGCTTAGGTTGTCCCCCACTGTGAAGGATCTTACCCGTCATTGACTTCCACCCAAGCTTTGGGGGCAGGGAGAGGAAACTGAGGCAGCGTTTGCTACCAGAGACAAGCTTTGTCTCCTTCGGCTCGCATACCCAAAGGTCCTCTCTCACTCTTAGCCACAAGGGATTGAGATACAATTCCTAGTACCAGGCAGAGCGCTCTACAACAGAGGTGGTCTCTTGTTTCTGAAAGTGGAATGCTGTATTTCTGCTGAGAGAGGTTTGTTAAATCTATTATGAGTATACATTTTTGTTTATATCTATGTTCAATATAATTTAAGTTTGTGACATTGTTTATGAATTTGAATCTTCCTGGTCAATTAAACTCATTGATATGAAGTGCCCTTCATCTCTAGTCATGCTTGTTACCTTGAAGTCCACTGCATGTTAGTATGTAATTTTCATGTGGTTTATGTTTGCATAATACAGGGTGGGGCAAAAGTAGGTTTAGAGTTGTGAGTACAAGAAACAAAGTTTATTGTTGTCCTATTATTTAATAACTATGAGATTATTATCCATGTGAAAAACTATAAAACTGCTTTTGCACCATCCTGTGAGTCTTTTCCCATTCTTTCATTTTCAATCTTTTTTTACCCCATGTTTTAGGTCATTCTTCTTTTCTCCCAGTTTGTGTCTTGTCCTTTTATTCTCTGAACTTTTTCAGAGGACTGTTCAATTTTATATAGTATACACTATTAATGTATTTCTTCATTACACTGCATGTCCACTTATATACCTGAGTCCTGGCTGGTTTTGTTTAAATGGTCCATTAAAAATCAAACTTACAGATGGGGGTGGGGCCTAAGGTCAGAGGCAGGACTGGGCTGGAGGTGAGAGGGGGCCCCAGATGTGGGTGGGGCTGGGCGGGAGGCATATTTAGGCGGGCAGGAGTGAGGGGCGGCCCGTTCTGGTGGAGAGATGAACAACTATGGGAACTGGAGGTCAGGCGCTGCCAGAGGTCAGGGACTGCCAGCTGCTGATATCCGTGGTCACGAGGTGATGCTTTGTATGTTTATCTAGATATTTCTGTTGTGGATAACTTTGGTAAATAGATATACAAAGATAGCCACTTTTTAACCCCAGAACAAGATGATATTTTTTGTTTGTTCAAGTGTCTGTTATTGTGTAGCAATTTCCAATTTCACTCATACAAATCCTGTAAATTGTTGTTAGGTTTATTCCCAGGTGTTTTTTTTTCCTACCTGTTGTTGCTACTGAGTTTTTTTTCTTAAATTTATATATTTAATTTACTATTTCTTTTCATGTTATTTCCCTATCATTGTACTAAGTTCTGTTTGTGATACTTTTCCGTTGATTCTCATGAGTTATGAGGGTAAACATGCTCTAATGCTATAATGATCATTATATGGTTGTAGCTGTAGGTGACCTAGAAATAGTTACAGCTTGAATGAAAACAGGAAGATGTGAGGTAATGTGAGGAGCTAGAAAAATGGTCTTTTTTGTCATAAATACATTAATGAGTAAATAAAATAGTAACATCCTTCTTAGCATTTTAAACGAGTTTAGGGCCTGGAAGCATGATGTTCCAGAAATCAGAAGTAATTTGTGACAGGAAATGTGCCCCAGGTAGGTCATCTGAGGAACACAGAAGGTAGCAAATGGGCACATTTTCAAAGAAGAAAACCTCAGATGGTCAAATGTGGAATCTAATAGTAAGATTCTTTGTTCTAAGTGACATTATGAGTCAGTTATTAAAGTGATGTGTGAGCAGCGGAAAGAAGCAGGATCCTCACTCAGGTGACTACTCTGTGTAGTCACAGTGTGATCTGGTCTCCTAAGTGGACAGATCTTCCTTTGCCTCCTGACCTATTGCCCAGGATACTTTTCCCCAATGGTGGCAAGATGGCTGGCATTTTTTTGTTCTTTAAGTTTTGGCTTCCATGCTTCCTGTTCCAAGAAT